ATGTGGTATATTTGTCATAACTGACATGCACAAATGACATAATGTGGTATATGGTCATAACTGACATGTAAAAGTGACATAATGTGGTATATGGTCATAACTGACATACAAATGACATAATGTGGTATATGGTCATGACTGACATGTATAAATGACATAATGTGGTATATGGTCATAAACTGACATACAAATGACATAATGTGGTATATGGTCATAACTGACATGTAAAAGTGACATAATGTGGTATATGGTCATAACTGACATACAAATGACATAATGTGGTATATGGTCATGACTGACATGTATAAATGACATAATGTGGTATATGGTCATAACTGACATACATATGACATAATGTGGTATATGGTCATAACTGACATGTAAAAGTGACATAATGTGGTATATGGTCATAACTGACATGTATAAATGACATAATGTGGTATATTGTCATAACTGACATGTAAAAGTGACATAATGTGGTATATGGTCATAACTGACATGTATAAATGACATAATGTGGTATATGGTCATAACTGACATACAAATGACATAATGTGGTATATGGTCATGACTGACATGTATAAATGACATAATGTGGTATATGGTCATAACTGACATACAAATGACATAATGTGGTATATGGTCATAACTGACATGTAAAAGTGACATAATGTGGTATATGGTCATAACTGACATGTATAAATGACAATGTGGTATATGGTCATGACTGACACCATGTGGTATATGGTCGTGACTGAAATGTACAAGTGACATAATGTGGTATATTGTCATAACTGACATGTAAATGTGACATAATGTGGTATATGGTCATAACTGACATGTAAAAGTGACATAATGTGATATATTGTCATTGTAGTAGATATGTTTGTGAGTTGTGATCAAGCATTGAACAATATTTCTTCTTTCACTTGGTCAAATTTTGGGGTGTTGATATAAAAAATAAAAAAAATATTCATTTATATAAATAAAAGCTAAATATGGATCTTATTTAATCAAAACAATTACAACATAACTAAGAGCACAGTATGCGTAAAATGTGTGGTGACTGGAAAGAGGAGGCCATCCACACACCAACCCAAATCTCAAATTTTAGAACTACTAGTAACATGCACAATACTAGAATCATTTATGCAATACTAGAATATATAATGTGTTGTGCGTCTACTGTAATCTTGAACTGCCAAGTTATTTTGTAATTCCTAACAATTCTAATTAACTTTTTCTATTCTCATTGTAAAAAGAAACCTTTATATTGCTATTTTTACCTTTTTACAAAATTTACTCCATGCAATTCAAATATTTTCCTTATATATGATTAATAGACTAGACCAGACCAGTCATTTAGCGCTGTTTTCAATTTGTTGGCACATTGAATAAAAGTACATCGACTCAGTCTTGTAAAATTTTTGGTGGTTTAACAACGAATGCAGCTGAAATAGAGAAGATTGTTGTATCTACAGTCATTTAATTTGACACTTGGAAAAAGATTTAGAGTGACTGTACATGTGACTTTGTCAATATGTGTAATTTACATCACATCTGTATGTCACTTATCTCTCGGTATTCACTCTGAGAATCACAAACCATTCTTTGGAAATGTATGGCATATATAAGTAATGTAGTTGTGACTGGAAATGAAATTCTCTACACTCCCCTACACATGAAATGGGAACATGATACACCTTGTCTTGTTCTATCATGAAAAAAATGAAAAGGAAGCAGTGCATTATGGGTATAGCATATTATTTGAGTATCATTATGCAAGTTTAAACAAATATGTAATTGTTTTTGTTTTTTGCCTCATGCAAAACACTTTCAGTAGAATTGAGAAATATATTATGCATTTTGAATCGTATTAAAAGTACATTTCATCTATTTATTGTCTGTCTTATAATTCTTGTGTGCAAAGACAGCAGAACTATTTTAAGTTTTAGGTTGCTTGTTATATTTCATGACATACAGCAGCCATTGTACCCCAACATACAAAAGCCATTTTACCTTCACATACATCAGATATTTACCATCACATACAGCAGCCATTTTACCTTCACATACAGTAGCCATGTTAATTTCACATACAGCAGTCATGTTAGCTTCACATACAGAAGCCATTTTACCTTCACATACAGAAGCCATGTTATCTTCACATACAGCAGCCACATCATCTTCACATATAGCAGCCATTTTACCTTCACATACAGAAGCCATGTTATCTTCACATACAGCAGCCATTTTACCTTCACATACAACAGCCATGTTATCTTTACATACAGCAACCATGTTATTTCCACATACAGAAGCCATTTATCTTTACATACAGTAGCCATTTTACCTTCACATACTGCAGCCATGTTATCTTCTCACACAGCAACCATTTTACCTTCACATACATCAGCCATGTTATCTTCACATACAGAAGCCATTTTACCTTCACATACAGCAGCCATTTTATCTTCACACACAACAGCCATTTTACCTTCACATACAGAAGCCACGTTATCTTCACATACAGCA